GAAGGAACCCAAAGGAGAGATAAAAATAAATTTATTTTGGGGCAGAGTGAGGATGAGGAAGGAACCCAAAGGAGAGATAAAAATAAATTTATTTTGGGGCAGAGTGAGGATGAGGAGGGAAATCAAAGGAGAGATTAAAATGAAGTTATTTTTGAGTAGAGTGAGGATGAGGAGGGAAATCAGAGGTAAAAATAAAGTTATTTTTGACTAGTGAGGATGATAAAGGAACTCAGTCCCAAAAATGAATTTATTTTTAAGTAGAGTGAAGATGATGGGGGAAGTCAAAGGAGAGATAAAAGTGAAGTTATTTTTGAGTACAGTGAGGATGATGAAGGAACTCAGCCCCAAAAATGAAGTTATTTTAGGATGAGGAGGGAACTCAGTCCCAAAAATGAAATTATTTTGGGTCAGAGTGAGGATGATGAGGGAACTCAGCCCAAAAAATGAAGTTATTTAGGGTGATGAAGGAACTCAGCCCCAAAAATGAAGTTATTTAGGGTGATGAGGGAACTCAGCCCCAAAAATGAAGTTATTTAGGGTGATGAAGGAACTCAGCCCCAAAAATGAAGTTATTTAGGGTGATGAAGGAACTCATCCCCAAAAATGAAGTTATTTTAGGATGATGAGGGAACTCATCCCCAAAAATGAAGTTATTTTAGGTCAGAATGAGGATGATGAAGGAACTCATCCCCAAAAATGAAGTTATTTTAGGATGATGAGGGAACTCATCCCCAAAAATGAAGTTATTTTAGGTCAGAGTGAGGATGATGAAGGAACTCATCCCCAAAAATGAAGTTATTTTAGGTCAGAGTGAGGATGATGAAGGAACTCAGCCCCAAAAATGAAGTTATTTAGGGTGATGAAGGAACTCAGCCCCAAAAATGAAGTTATTTTAGGATGATGAGGGAACTCAGCCCCAAAAGTGAAGTTATTTTAGGTCAGAATGAGGATGATGAAGGAACTCAGCCCCAAAAATGAAGTTATTTTGGGTCAGAATGAGGATGATGAAGGAACTCATCCCCAAAAATGAAGTTATTTTGGGTCAGAGTGAGGATGATGAAGGAACTCATCCCCAAAAATGAAGTTATTTTAGGATGATGAAGGAACTCAGCCCCAAAAGTGAAGTTATTTTGGGTCAGAATGAGGATGATGAAGGAACTCATCCCCAAAACCGAACTTATTTCTCCGCAGCGAGGCGACGCACCACCGAAGTTCTGTCGGCCCTCGCGGGAGCCGCGGCGGGCCGGCCCCGGGGGTGGGTTGGGTGGGTGACAACCCCAAAACTCGCTTTTTCCGCCCCAAAATCCTACCGCTGCTCACGTGCATCTTCTTCATCCAGGGGTAAACCAGCGGCGCTTTGCCCGGCGCGGCCGCGGGCTGCGCGCAGGGCCCGGGCGGCTCGTCGGCCAGGCGCTGCCTTCCTCCTCCTCCTCCTCCTCCTCCTCCTCCTCCTCGCCCGCAGCCCGGGGGTCGCTCGGGGAACGCCCCGAAAGCCGCGGGGTGCTGCGGGCAGCCCGGCTCCCTGCGCCCGTAGAGCTCGGGGATGAAATCACCCTGCGAGTACTCCTCGCACGGAGGGAACTTGGGCTCCACGTAGCCCGAGTCCATCAAATAGGAGCTCATGGTCATTAATTTCGCGAGTGGGAAATCATTTGTCTCGCCGGCTCGTTTTTCTGCTCCATAAAGCCCTCCTCCCCGCGGCCGCCCCGTCGACTTTCTCCCACCATGTGACGGACGCGGCCAATCCCGCCCGGCGGATGGGCCCCGGATCAGGAACCCGAAAAGCAGCGAAATTCACCCAAAACGCGCGGGGGGAGGCGCGGAGAGGGGACGCGGAGGGACCCGGATCGGCCGGCGGGAGGGGCGGAAAATGCGCCGGGACTGCGCTGGAGGAGGGCGGGAGGGAGAGGGCAGAGCTCGGGGCAGGGGTAAAA